GTATCTTTAGTAAATATGAATGTCACTAGCTTATCGGCCGGCATTTAAGCTAGCTCCTGCAAGAGGGATCTTGATTGGGCCTTCATCACAGTAGTCAGGGAGGAATAGATGCGATAGACATCAATAAACTGCAGAAAAACTCAAAACTGAGCGTTGCATTTAAGTATTGCATTAATATTTAAGATTACCTTTTAAAAGCTCAACGATAATTCTTCTGCCGCCATTTAATTTGAAGACAATTTGATGTACGTAGGTCCTTACTTTACGTACAAATAATTATTTTTATTTCATCAGTGACTTTCGCTAGATTTTGCTATTATTTTCGATTATTCCCAAATTTCTTTTCTTGTTATAAAAAAAAAATTATCGTAAAAAAATTCGTCGCAGAAAAATCAGGTAAAAAATCGCCGAAAACAATGGCAAGTAATGAAAATTTGGGAATCCAAAATGTCGAGATTGCGGGTCCGGATCCATCCCGGAAGGTTTTTACTTTGCTTACAGAGTTGGCCTGATTCCAAAATGGTATGATGTGTTGGGCTACAGCCACTAGGAGTAAAGTTGAAAACAAAGACAATTTTATTTTGAAACACTGTAATTTGGGAACAGTATTTTTTTCAATTTGAACATGAGCTATTGAAAGTTAAAGAGTTCTGTCCCTTTAAATTGAAAACGTGTGACACACCGACATTCGCATTTATTATACACACACACACACACACACACACACACACACACACATATATATATATATATATATATATATATATATATATATATATATATATAAAAGAGTCTTTTGAATTTTTAGATCTGATATATTGGATCGTGATTACGATTCCAATGTAATAAATTATAACCATGGAATATTACTGTTTGAGCCTTTTATATTATATTCTTACTCTGTCCTGGACATTGAGTTCTACCTGGATTCTATCCTCTTGGGAATTATATATATATGTGTGTGTGTGTGTAGATAGATAGATAATATTACTGGTAAATAAACACATACATATGCAATCATATATCTAAAATATATAAATATATATACATACATACATACATATACATATATATATGTAATAAATATATATATATATATTAAAATCAGCGACGAAGAAGGCAGCAGTTTTAAAACGGGAAAAGTGTATTTAAAAAGAAAAGAAATAAAAGCTAAAATCGTAACGAAGTTAAAATTGGTGCCAGTTCGAACCTCGGCGTTGTCTGCATGTTTGTTATCTTGCACCAAACCGAAGTGTCTTCTGCAAATAGCCATATAAGGATAAAATGAAAGATTCACACGACTTCTCTGATTGTAACTCTTTGTCTTCAGAAATTGTTTCCATTTTCATATTCATTTTCGTCTCAGCATCTCTTTGTGTTGTGTCCTTGAATGTATGTTGCTTTTAGTCAAAAATACCATATTGGCATCAATGCCTGACTTTCCTCTTAAGAATACCTATTGCGAAAACGCACAAAGGGTGTGAGTGTGAGAGAGAGAATCAGAGAGAGAGAGGGAATGAAAAGGTGAGAGAAACTACAGTCCTTACTTCAATTCTTGTCTCTGGGGTAAAAGAAAAAAAAGGTTAGAATCATTAAACCCGCTCCCTCCTCAGTGCCATTACAATTAAAAAGCAGCTTATATCATCTCTTTGAGAGATACCCGACTTACCTATATGTCGGTCTATATAAAATCCCTTACCAGAATATCTCCAATATCTAACCCAAAACTCAGAGGCCTTTTTTTTCATAGAAGAGATTCTGTTAAGATATCAGCACAGTTTTTAGACTACCTATCCGGAGTGAAAACTGATCCTGCATCGAGGATGCTAATGTGTGTAGCAGCTTTAACAGTTATTGTTCTTTTGGAAATACAATGGGGAGAGAGAGAGAGAGTAAGCAACGAAGACTTAAAGAATTGCTCGATGAAACTGGTATAGGTTTTAGTCCATAATATCATTAGAAAGTTTTCATACGTAATTCTTTAAATACATATATATATAGAGAGATAATATTAGTGGTAAATATACACATACATATGCAAATATAAATACATACATACATACACATACATATCTATTTGTATAAAAAATAAATCCAAGAGGATAGAATCCAAGTAGAACTCAATGTCCAGGACAGATTAAGGATATAAAAAAAGGCTTAAACACTAATATTCCATGGTCATAATTTATTCCATTGGAATCGTAAATACGATCCAATTCATCAGACCTACATTGGATCGTATTTACCATTCCAATGGAATAAGTTATGTCCATGGAATATTAGTGTTTAAGCCTTTTTATTATATATATATATATATATATATATATAGATGGTATTTATCAATCCACCCACGGGGATCGAATGTGGCACAAGGCCTTTTTAATGTGGGTATCTCTGAGCCCGTAGGCCCAGCCAAAAATAAATAACCACCCAAACCCGCCGAGGCGGGCCAGTTCCGTCAACCTCCCCCAACGAAACCCTACCCTTCGGCAGAGCTTCGTCCGGGTTCCTCTCTGCAAGCAGAGAGTTCGACAGACACCCGACCCGGCAGCTCACAAAGCGCAGATACTACACTTTGATCCTAGCCACCGGGCATATAGATAGATAGATAGATAGATATAAACAACACACTCACGCGCACATACAATATTCGCAATAGAATAGGATATTATCCTTTTTCTGTTTATTTGTACTCTTCATATATATATATATATATATATATATATATATATATATCAAAGTGTAGAAGAACGAACTGTAATATCACAGTGTTCAAAACATTAAATTAAAAACAGTGCTTAATACAAAAAGTGGAGCCGTAAATATTTATTTATTTATTTCTTATGCAGTGTTACATAAGAACATGCACATATCCACTACAAAATTTTTCTTTCACCGTTAAAAGAGGAAAACCTTTTTTAAACGTCTCATCAGGTGGGGAATCACAGTATTACTAAAAACTTTTTTTCAGAAATACAATTATCGAAGCAAATATCGCTCACTTCCGTTCTTTGGATATTTTCATAAAATGTCTTCTAGAATTTACATGTGGAGATGGAAAGGAATCTAATCATTAGTAATTGCGGGCAAAAATGCATTTAGTGTATTGGGACAGGAGATCATTATTTAAGCAAATATTGTTAAATATAACAGACAATGAATGTCTATTATGTTTGATCATGAGCCGTTCTAAGCTTCATATATTTGCTTTAATTTCCGATGAAAATAAATAAAATATACAAATGTTGGGAAATTTTTGTCTCTATTTTCACCCGAAATTAAAGCAAATATATGAAGTTTAGAACGGCTCATGATCAAACATAAAGACACACACACACACACACATATATATATATATATATATATATATATATATATATATATATATATATATCCGTCTGTGTATTTAATGTTTATTGACATTTTCTAGCTCTTGTGTTGGCGGAGGGAAACGCTTCAATATCGGAGCGAGGCCGTTTGTAGATACAAACAGTGTGGACAATAAAATCAACACTACATAGTGACCGTCAGTCTCAAGTCTTAATCTGCAGGCACATTAGAAAAATGGAGCTATTATTTCGTCATTTGTTCAGATATCAGTCAATTAAAATTTTATTACCTCGTATATATAAAGGAGATTGTGACAAGAATGGCAGCAATACACACACACACACACACACACACACACACACACACACACACATATATATATATATATATATATATGTATGTATGTTAGGCATTTAAAACAACATGCCTGACCGCATACACAGTCCCGAAAAATCCTCATTGAAAACACAACTATACTTAAACATGAAAACAATAAACAAAAACTAAAAATTCCTGAAGCTATATACATAAAACAGTTGAAACCTAACCTGAACAAAATAAACTACGAAATCTCCACAAATATTCTTAAATGCCTATAATTGATAACAGAAGCCATTGGTTTATAACAGCGGCTTCCCATACTTAATACTTCTCGTTTTCACTCTCGCGTGGTTATGTGTGATGTCATGAGCTGCGGTGCGATTTTCGCTTCCAGCGTGTTTCATGCACGAGTTTGTCGTTGCTTGGAAATCTTCAATGTAAACAAAAACAGACTATCATTATTGTTTTGTCCGTGTATTGCTTAATATATTGTAATGTAATTGTCATCTTTGATAATCGCTTATGTAAGCAGAAAGCTTAGGTAAGATTAAAAAATATGTATCAATATTGTGATTTTCTTTCGTCTTTTAATGATAATGTTATTAAGCTTATCAGACGATATGAAAGGAACTTAGATAAAATAAATAGACAGCACTTGTCTATATTATTTAATGAAATATGCATCAATATCTATATACATATATATCTGAAGGAATATAGTTTTAAGGTGTGTTATATTTATGGGATAAAGTGCTCAAATAGAGAGAGAGAGAGCTTTAGTATTTGTGACCTGGGGTTTCACGTTGTCTAACGATCGCAAAGGGCGTGAAACCCAGGGTCAAACTCACATCAATCCAACTAAATCTGTTCGCGTTTTCCAATATGTCCGCATATATAATATATGAATAATATATATATATATATATATATATATATATATATATATATATATATATATATAATTCTTCCCCCTTTCTAGAGAGAAGGTGTTTAGATCGTAAAATATTCAGATGAAATTTCAACGACCCGATGTTGAAAACAATTTTGAAAATTGTTAGGAGTCTTAGTGAAGAGATCTCGCCGACCCAAGAATTATCTTCTCCGACACACATATGTTTAATATTATGAGATTTTTCACTCGGCCGTCTAACAGATAGTTAACTTCACTCTGAATTAAAACAGGAAAATGATACGATGGAACGTGAACTGAGATTAGAAGGAAGATGAAGTTTACTTTAACGTTTCTTATTAAGTTCCTTCCATTTTTGTTTCCTGCTCATCCTGTTCATCTCCATCTTTATTGTTTTTTTTGGTTTTGTTTTTTAGTTTTTAGTTTTTTTTCCTTTTTGTTACTGTTGTTGTCGTTTATCTGTAGACGTTTGTTTGCAGGATGATGAGATAAGCATGAGAGAGGAGGAGGGCGGTGAGAGAGAGAATATAACGTGTGAGGTTTGTAGGGAGAAGTCAGAGTGATGGGTAGAGAGAGAGAGAGGGAGAGACGGAGAATGGGAGGAGATAAAGCAAATGAGGCAACAAAGCACAAAAAGGAAGGATATATGAGAGATGGTGAAGTAGAAAGAAAGAAGGAAAGAAAGAAAGAAACAAACAAACAATTGCAGATAATAATAATAATAATAATAATAATATGGTAGGATTATTGAAGAAGAAAGATGGAATGGTGGAGCTAGGAAGAAGAGCTAATGGAAAAAAGAGTTGAAGAGGAAGAAGTATATGGCAAAGCTAGTAAATTAAAGGAGAAAAAGAAAGACAGAAAGAAAAACAGAGAAAGAAAGAAGGAAACAGCCAGTGAAGAAGAAGAAGAAGAAGAAGAAACCACAAATGATGGGAAAGAAAGAAAGAATGGCAGAGATAATAAAAAGAAGAAGAAGAATATGCAGCAGCTGATGAAAAAGAAAGAAAGAAAGAAAGAATAATGAAAAGATAATAAAAGAAAGTCGACGTCGAACGAAAGAAAGAAAAAGAAAGAAATCTTCATAAACATTTTAAAAAGAAGAAGAATATGCCATAGCTGATGAAGAAAGAAAGAAAGAAAAGAAAGAAAGAAAGAAAGAAAGAATGGCGGAGATAATAAAAAGAAGAAAAAGAATATGCAGCAGCTGATGAAAAAGAAAGAAAGAAAGAAAGAATTGTAAAGATAATAAAAAGAAGAAGAATATGCCATAGCTGATGAAGAAAGAAAGAAAGAAAGAAAGAATGGCGGAGATAATAAATAGAAGTAGAAGAAGAAGAATATACCACAGATGATGAAAAAGAAAGATAGAAAGAAAGAAAGAAAGTAAGACATAATGTGGAGCTAATGAAAAAGAAAGAAAAGAAAAGAAAAAAAAGAATTGCGAAAGATAATAAATACAGTGCTCTTAAAAAAAAAAAGAAAGGGAAAGAAAAAAAGTAAAAAAAGAAAGAAGAAAGAGAACAAAAAAAAAATGATGAAAGAAAGAAAAAGAAAGAAACAAAAAAGAATAAAGAAAAAATAAGACATAACCAGCTAATGAAAAAAAAGAAAATATTGCAAGAAAGAAAAAAAGAACTCATGAGGAAGAAGAAGGAAAGACAGTGCTGGTGAAAAAAAAGAAAAAAAACGATACAGTGCTGGTAAAAAAAAGAAAAAAGGAACAAAAGAAAGAAAGACAGAAAGAAAGAAGGGAAGAACCAGTGATAAAGAAGTAGAAGAGAAAGAGTTCTTGAGGAAGAAGAAGGAAAGCATATTGATGTTAAGGAAAAGGAAAAGGAAAGGTCGAAATGCCTTCGAGAAGTACATCAAAGTTTTTCGTCCGTTGCACGCTTTCTCTTCCTCTTCTTTTTCTTTGTTCTGCTTCGCCATCTTTGAACACTTCCACTTTGATTCAAAATTGCACCCCCCCATCCTTAATTATATTGCAAGAAGCCTTCATCAAGTGTCATTACTCTTCTTGAAATAATTAATGACTATAAAATTAAGGGGAGGTTGTTCCAGGTATAAGCCTGGGCGTAGAAAATCATTCGTCAAAACGAATAGACACAGATATTGGTATGCAAATACATACATAGTTTCATTAGATGTAGAATTGTGTATATGCGTATATATCAGGAGAAAACGCAGCGGGGAGGGGAGGAAAATGATGGCGGGATTAAGTTTCTCTGGGCCGTATTTAATAAATTTATCTCTGGCGATGTACTTCTCTGACTTGCGCAAAGCCCAAGACATGGGCGTCTTGACAAGAGCATTAATCGCTTCTATGAGAGATAAATAGATGGTTAGACGGCCTGCAACGAACAATGCTTGACGAAATTCTTTAAAAATAAAATATCGCTAATTATTGGAATTAGATAAACACCCGAGAGAAAGAGGGATTAGTTAGCCATCTCGATAGACAAACAGATAAAAATCCCAACAGATCAACCAGATACATATCTACCGTATATTTTCCCGTATAAGGCGACCTTTAGATAAGACGAGGTAAAAAAAAAAACATGTAGCAAATTTTCATGAGTTTATCCTATACCTGTAGTATAAGACGACTCTCTATTGATTATATAAAGATGATGTTATTGAAAATGTTTCTTACACTATCCTTATAAATTTAAAATAAACGAACTAACAAAACTAATATCATGCTTTTTCTACACATCTCCTAAAAGGCAAATCATTGTTTTGTTTACGTTTCATCACGTATTCACGATTCTTCTTCTTCCTTATTTAAGTGCAATTACCGTAAAAGAATTTTTATTTGAAAAATAAAGTTTGTATGTGATAATATGGATCTTAATGATTTTAGTGTTAAATAATAACACATAATTGTGTTATTATTTAACACTAAAATAATAATGAATTTTTAATGAGAAATAAATATTATGTTATCCTATATCTATAGTATAAGACGACTATTGATTATATAAAGATGATGTTATTGGGAATGTTGTTAGTTATTGTATCCTTAGACATTCAAAATAACAGAAATATCAAAACTGATTACATATCATGTTTTTCCTACACACGTCCCCTAAAATGAAACCATTGTTTTATTTACGTTTTATCACGTGATATTTTGTGAATATTCTTTTGATTCCTCTTCTTCTCCCTCTTATTTTCCTATATCCAAACAGTTACAGACTAGGGTACTTATGACTATTTACTTAGACTTCATCGACAGTTTAATGAGAAATTAATATTATGTTATCCTAAATTTTATTACTGCTGTAATTAATGCTACCATGATGATTAATCAAAGTTTAGCGAAAGATAAAGGTTGCTGTGATCGAAATAAGTCGGGTTTTAAAAATAAATCCTATGTAAAATAAAAGCTCTTTTCAGTATTATAATATGGATCTTAATGATTTATCTACAAAAGTAAAATAAATACCGTATATTTGCATAAATAAGGCGACCTTTAGATAAGATGTGTTCAAGAAATATAGCAAATTTTCATGAATTTATCCTCAACCTGCAGTATAAGGTGACTGCTTATTGATTATATAAACGACGAGGCTATTAAAATGTTTTTACTGTATCCTTAGAAATTCAAAATAAACAAAATGGCAAAACCAATTCTATCTTTTTCTACACATACTCCCCCAAAAAGGAAACCATTGATTTGTTTACATATTACCACGGGATCACTTGCGAATACTGATTCTTCTTCTTCCTCTTTTCCTGTATCTAAACAGTTACAAACAGCCTGGTGTACTAATGACCATTTACTTATACTTCATCACCAATCTAAAATACTGCTAATAACTGTAAGATAATGTACGATAATAGTACTTTCCACTTGATGGGAAATAAATGGTTTTATAATATCCTAAATGTTCTAAATGCAACTGCCATAAAAAGATTTTTGTTTGAAAAATAAAGTTTGTATGTAATCCTAAATTACGTTATTATTTAACATCAAAACGATAATGAATTTTTAATCAGAAATGAATATTATGTTATCCTAAATATTATTACTGCCATAATTAATACTACCATGATGATTAATCAAAGTTTAGCGAAAGAAATTTGTTGCTGGGAATGCAATCATAACTCGATGTTTACATTTTCTAAGCTTGGATTCAAGTTGATTTCATTGATATGGAATTATTCTTTGAGTAGGCAATTTATTATGAAGTTATGCTATTAATACGAGGGTCATTCAATAAATAAGGTGAATTTTTCGGTATAAGGACTTCTAATACAGCTTACTTTCTTTCTTTTTTTTCTTTTTTTTGAACGTCGTCTCCCAGCACTGTCACACACTTTTCCCATCTGTGCACAAGCTTCCGTATTCCCTCAGCGTAAAAATCTTTGGACTGATGTCTCAGCCAGTCGCTCACAACACTTTTGACTTCATCGTCACTTTTAAACTTCGTGCCTCTCGTGAACGCTTTCAAGGGACCAAACAGGTGAAGGGGCAAGGTCTGGGCTGTAAGGGGGATGAGGGAGCAGTTCCCAGCCCAGCTCGTTGATGGTCTGCACCGTTTGGGCTGCTGTGTGAGGCCTTGCGTTGTCATGATGCAAGGTGACTCCTTCTGACTGATGACCCCTGCGTTTGTTCTTTATGTCTTTCTTGACCTGCCTCAGCAGTTAACAGTAGTTCTTCTGTCAGACTGAATGAGGTCATTGACTGATTCGATCACCTCAGGAGACCTCACTTCTGTAGGCCTCCCAGGCCTGTCTTAATCCTCAACATTGCTCCGTCCTTCTTTAAACAATTTAACCCACTTGTAGACATTTTTTTGACTGAAACATGTGACCCCATACACAGTTGACATTCTCCTATGAATTTCAACTGATTTGCACCCTTCAGCAACCAAAAACTTGATAACTGACCGCTGTTCAATCCTGGAGCATGCTTCTTGGTCGGCCATCTTTGTTAATCGCTAAAACTCTCAAAGTTTTTTTTTTTTTTTTAATCTGCAAAAGAAATTAAATCCATGCGAAAAAAAAAAAAAAAAAAAAAGCTTCTATCTGTATTAGAAGTCCTTATATCGAAAAAGTCACCTTATTTATTGAATGACCCTCGTATATAAGGTAGAAATGGTTTTATTATTTTTGTTCTCAGTTTATTTGATAATGTGAATCTTTTCATGTACATTATTGGTTATTATATTATATTATATTAAACGTCTTAAAATAATTGTCGTACTTTGTCCAATTCATAATGTGTGCCGTCATTTGTTTACATTTGGATACGCATCGAGCAGATATGAATGTACGTGAGAAAATCATGGAGAATTGCAGTTTAAAAACAAGTAAAATCGACGTTGCTAACCGAAACGCTCCTCTGTGGCTAAATCGGTAAAGCACGTCAGGCTATATGACGCTTCCGTATAGGATACAGGTTCGATTCCTGTCGGAGGACGTATATTT